GCTCTTGCAGAGGACCCAGGTTTGGTTCCCAGCACTACGTGGCAGCTAACAACCATTCATAATTCCAATTCCAGGGGATCTGACACCTTCTTCTGACCTCCATAGGTACTGCACATAAGTGGTACACTTATATCCATGCAGACCAAATACTCATATACATAAAATAAAAATAAAATTTTTTGTCTTTTTTTTGAGACAGGGTTTCAGGGTTTCCCTGTAGCCCCAGCTGGCCTGGAACTCACAGAGATCCACCTGACTCTGCCTCCCAAGTGCTAGGATTAAAGGCATGCACCACCACACCTGGCTTAAAATAAAATCTTTTAAAAAAATCTTTACAAGTATCATTCAAACCCTGCCACGCTTTCCCAACTTCCTCTTCTTCACCTGGAAGTTACCACCTTGCTGAATTTGGGGGCTCATTCTAGTGCCCAGCTTTCCACGGTCACCTGGTCATGGCATGTCTAAAACCCATACACAATGCTTGTGCTGAAGCAGGTGACTGCAGGGCCCTGTTGAGCCTCAGCCACTTCTTTCCCAGAGTTTCTATTGGTCATTTAGGGCTGTTGGCCAACCAAGGCCAGTCTGGGCTCTTCCAGCTGTCCCCGGCCAGCACAGGGACAAGGGGTACTTGTTAGAGGGTGGGTGACATAGGAACTAAATCATAACTATGACCGACATATAACTAAATGTGGCATCAAAAAAACCCTTTTCCTGAGCACCTTGGATCCAAGACCAAGAAATTTCCAGAAAGTGATGCTGGCTCGAAGGCCAGGCTGTTTGGATGGATGTTGGAAAATCAGCAGTGGGCACAATTCAGAAGGAGGAACTAAAACAGCCATGGGAGATACAAAAGTCAGATGAGGCATGTGTTTAGACCCTCCCTGGGGTCGCCAGGAACCATATAAATTCACATACAGTAAGGCGAAGGGGAAGAGTGGCAGACATTTATTTGCAACCCTAAGACTAGCCTATTTAAAATGAATTTAATATTTTAAAGGTGTCATCTGAAAAGTCAAAACTCTAGACTTCACTCTGCCCCTGTCAACTTTTTTGAGACAGGGGCTCCCTGTAGCCCCAACTGGCCTAGAACTTGCTATGTAGACCAGGCTGGTCTTGAACTCACAGAGATCCACCTGCCCCTGCCTCCTAAGTGCTGGAACTAAAGGCTTGCGCCACCATGCTCCCCTGTCAACTTTTTAAGGCTTTTCTCGGCACTACAGGTGCTCTGCAAAGCCTGGTTTCCTGGGTTGCATCCCCAGAACCCACATGGTGGAAGGAGAGAACACTGAGTGTGTAATCAGTGGTCCAACAGTGCTTAGCATGCATTGAGGCCTAGGATTCAATTTCCAGCACCAAAGCTGGGGATTCTAACTTAGCCTAATGTAAGGTCTTTTGGGGGTGTGCTTTTGAAACTGTCTCACTTAGCCCCAGGCTGGCCTCAAACTTCCTGTGTAGGCCAGGATGACCTCAACTCATTGATCCTCCTGCCTCTACCTCTGGAGTGCTGGATCACAGATTTGAACCAAGTGTCAGGCCTGGTTTGGACATTTAAAAGTTCCCTGTGAAGCCAGGTGTAGTAGTACAGGCTCCCAGCACTCAGGAGGCAGAGGCAGGCAGGTCTCTGTGATCAAGGCCACCCTGGTCTACACAGCAAGTTCCAGGTCAGTGTTACAAAGTGAGGCCCTGTCTCAAAAAAAAAAGAAAAAAAAAAAAAAAAAAAAAAAAACCCCCCGGGGGGGTTCCCAACATCAGTTTT